AAATCGTGGCAGGATCAGCCTGATGTTATTTGTATCCCGCTGTAACTTTACTGTATAAAGAGCTAACATCTCCAAAATGTCAGGAGTAGTTAGTCATTACAAGAAGTGTTTGTGAACTAAAAATCAAGAATGTGGGACCCTGTTTGTCTGTGATTTGGAGTCGTGCAAGTTTTAGAAACATCATAAAAGACACCTCACATCCTGCCCCCCCCCAAGGGTGCCACCCAAAGTGGTACTATTGTATTATTAAAGCTCTTCATGACTGAGCCAAGTGTCCTGTTTTTTGAAAAAGAAAATATGGTCACCCTATCATAATTTATCTTATCTTATATTGGATGGTAATGAAAAAGAAACTTATCCTTGAAGCTTTTGCCAGTTGTCCTCTGGGCTGGTTTTGAATGAGGATAAATTTTCATATTTTGGCGCCACCGCTGTTTCTCCCACCTGTTTCATGTGTTTCTATAAGTACAGTGTAAATGCATTTTTACACTGCAGGATAAGACATGGACAGAAACGTCACTTATTACTATTATTATTACTTAATATTTTAAGACTGTTATAAAGAAGGTGATTTGACCTGACACTCTGCCATCAAACTGCAAAATTTTCCTCTATGGGTACAAAAAACTTCAACAATCTTCTTTCAGGAGTCTGCTGACATTTGTCCTAGTCCTGCTTTTCCTTATATTAATGCTATGATTATTATTCCAAGTATTGATGGAATGATTGTTATTTTTTCACTGATAAATCCACAGAATGGAGTGAAAAACTATCTGGAAATGCACAGAAAGAATCAGCCGGGGTTAACAGTCCAGCTGCACATTGCATTGACCTGTAGTTACATTTTTTGGCAGGTGCACTTCAGGTTATGTTGGACGTTATGTCATAGATTTCCCACTGAAGCATGAGTTGAACGTAGGAGACACACCTTAGTATTAATGTTGGAAATGCTGCAGATTATCGATAAAGGTGTCTGGCATTTCTTCTTAATAGCTTAAAAGCTGAGGCATTAATGGATGGATGGAATTTTATTACTTTTTCTGTGCTCTACAACTTACACATTAGTTCTGTCTTTGAAGAAGCCAAACTATTTGTTCACCCTGCTCTTCTGAAGAACAACATGTCATGGCCCCATCACCAATGAAACATGCAGGTTGCAAATTTTCTGTAAAGTGCAGAGTGACAGGAAGTGTGCTTTTAAGTCTGTTCTGTGCTAACCAATCAAATACATTTTATAGTCTAACCCAACATGTACAGTTCACCTCTGAAACACCACAACAGAGAGCAGTGTCAAGATGGTCATATTTTGGGTGGCATTGCTTTTTCTCCATCAAGGCTTAAAGCGCTTTTTTATTCTGATTATATGTCTGAAATATAATTATTTTTGTTGAATAGATTTGTATGTGTATATACAATAACAAGAGTATTTTTAAATTTTAAATTATTTTCGTCTCGTGACTTTTTTTCTATGTTTTGTTTTCACTCAGATTCTCTGGTTCCAGTGAAAACCGCTCACCTTGGTGAAGCAGCAACTTTAACATGTGCTAGAACTACTAAAGAGCTCAGCAGTCGAGTCCAGTGGTACAAGCAGAGTGTCGGAGATACTCTTAACTTAGTTGTTACATTTTATGGAACTACACAACCTGTTTATACTCCAGAGTTTCCTGAATCAAGATTTGAGGCAAAAATTGACAAACATTTTGTCAACCTGACTATTGTGAAGACAGTCCAAGAAGATGAGGGCTACTATCACTGTGAGCAAGGCAGTCGTGTTAGTAGTGAATGGAGCGGGATGTATTTGTTAGTTAAAGGTATGCAGCTGCTCTACTTTTACAAACATTTTGAACTTCTCTGAGCATCTTTTGAAGAATGTCTTTGTGTTTTGTATCACACAGGAAACACTCAGAGGTCATCAAACTACATCGTTGTCCAAAAGCAGATGGAATCAAATCCAGTCTATTCAGGAGACACAGCGACTCTCGAGTGTTCAGTCTTCTCTGATTCTGAGAACGAGACGTGTCCAGGAGATCAAAATGTTTTCTGGTTCAGAGCGGGATCTCATCCAAACATCATCTACACTGACAGGAAAAGACATGAATATGAGAACAGATCTGACCCTCAGAAAAGATGTGTTTATGGCTTTTCTAAGAACGTCAGCTCCTCTGATGCTGGGACTCACTACTGCGCTGTGGCCGCATGTGGGGAGATAATATCTGGAAATGGAACTAAACTTAATATTCAAGGTACCTGCCCCATTGATTTTTAAATTAATCCATATAATATGTAAATTATATAATATTTAAGTGCCAGTATGTACAGTGACAATTAATTAATACAATTTTTATAACTTTGAGGTAACATCAATCATCTTTTTATTTTAGCAACCTCTAACTTTTTGTTGTTGTAACTTTTAATATTGTTTCAGGAGACACTCCGTCGTCACTGCCAGGAAGTACAGTGATTTTTCTGCTGTGTGTGGGTATAATTCTGATTGTTACAGCTGTCCTCATTTACACATTCAAAAGAAACAACAATGATCATCACAAAGGTAATCAAAGTTACTCACAGTTCGCTGCAGATCAAAAGTTAAAAAATCTTACATTTGTATTTATTGTCATCTGTCTGTAATCAAGCACTTGTCCAGCAGAAAAACTTTTGTGGTCAGAAAACACAACAGGTAAAGTACTTAATGACAGCAATATCTCAGAAATATGAATCTTTTATGGTTAAGTTTTGATCTTTCCAATATATTTTCTTCTTTCCCCATTTTCCAGAATAAGGACACATGGATGTTTTCTGCTGTTGTCTTTACCATGATGGAAGCTGACAGATGCGAAATGAAAGAGTCAAAGGTGGTGGAGAAGCATGAAATCTACAGAGCTGTGAAGGCCTTTGGCCTTGAATAGGTGATCAAAAGCATGACTGCTTGTAGTTTATAAGATTTTAGCTTTGTTGTAGTTGTGTATGTATATTTGCATGTAGATCAGAGCTGAACTGCAAAATTGCTGTATTTCTGACTGAATGTTGCATTTTTAAATCTTATTTCTTATTTTTATGTCTTGGCTTTAATCTAAGTTCTAAACACGTCAAAGTAATTATGTTGAAAGTGGCCATTACTGAAATCACAAAATGGATGTGACCTGATAGATGCCCACAGCGGCCTAAAGAAGCAATGCAGAACAATTTTAAGAGAAGATATTTATTCTTTAGATGCTTAATACATGCATATATTTATAATAATAATATAAAAAGTATTAATAATGATATAATTATAATTATAATAATATAAATACTATGTAAGAAATTGCAAAGTTTTATGACTATAATAATGATGTCTGTGAAAAAGAAATTCCATGTGTCCTGTAATCAGTCTTTATTCAATTGAATTATATTTTATTTATTTTGGGACAAATCACAACAGTCACCTCAAGACACATTTG